TGCTTCTTAAAGAGGGATATTACACTTGGCGAATGGTTAGAACTGATTAATCATCTTCCGCGTCTTGCAGAATTTTTTAATAGAAGCTGCATAAAATTATGTACAAAATTTATTGTGTTAAATGTTATTGGTAAAACCTACTGTAATGAAGTGATTTATAAATGATTTTTTGTAATATTAAGTTTAGCGTTAATATATTATTTTTCTTTCAGATATCCTCGGGAAAACCAGTGGTATTTGTAATCAAAATTATCTAGATATTCGAAAATTGTTACAAATATTGATGTGCAATAAATTTTAGAAAAAATAAGAAAATTTTGCAATCAAAATGTAAAAGTACACTTTTTAATATGTGTTTAAATGTAATCTCGATGAACTGCCACTGAATTGTGTTCCCATTGAATAGTCAACAAGTTATAGCTGTCTAACTACGCTAGAAGAATTTTTATTTTGTTTATAAAATACAAGCCACTGTTGAAAGTATTATATTCTTAGAAATTATCCCAATCCAGATGTAAGTAATTACTTTCAAAATTATTTACATAAAAGGAATATTTTTCGCAACATTATAACACTTTTACATTGTAACACAGTAAGCAGTTAGAAGTAAATACAAGAAAAAATAGATGAAGTATGCAAATTGCGAATCAGCAATAGGGCAGCTTCTCTGCACAAACTTTTTTTTTTCTTGTACGAAAAGAATTACGACAATGGACAGAATCACAACACCAATCATTAAGACTCATAGAATGACTGAGCTAGTCACTAGCATCATACTGTACAGTCCTCGACCGAGTGGGTGTTTAGATTTCTACCCTTACTTGTATTTTCTCATCTACCCTCATTCTTAACAATATTATGATTCTACTTTTGTAATACATATTTATATTAAATACTCGGTTTTCTAATAGCTTTGTTTATTATCCCATGCTCTATAAAATTGAGTACTTATTAATGATTTCTCATTATTAATAAGTGCATCAAATTTAAATTTGTACAATTTAGAAACGTGTTAAAACTTGGTAATTTTCATTCATTTTGAGTTACAATATCCGCACATTGTGCCCAAGGACCGAAGGTCTTATTTAAATTGACATGGGTATCAACTAAACTACTCTATTGTTAATGTTGGAAAATAACTTTTATAATTAACTTTACTACTATTCTAAATTAATAATTTATACTATACTTTTATACTACATTTCACAGTTTCCCTGTCCGCGAAACAGACGCAATAGTTAAACAATCTAAATGTTCATATATGATTCATGGGTCAGGAAAAGGGTTAAGCGAGCGTGTAATGAAATTTAGTAAGTTTTTAATAAGTAAAATGCATCACAATATTAACGTAACGTGCAACCATAAAGCTTATGTCAGAAAAACGAGACTAAATAGGATGTGTAGTTTTGGCGAGAACTTGACCGCCGGCGGAAGGTTGCAATAGTTTGAAGTGAATTATTTTGATACGTAAAAGTGATGCGATTTTGTGTATTAATTTAGTGTCAGCGCATGTGAACTAATAGAGAAAACGAAACAAGTGCTTCGATGTTAATATTAACCTCAAGTTATTTTGTCCGCTTAGGCGCTTTAAAGATTTGACATACTGTCGCCATCTACTATCCGTTGGGTTAAGCTGTCGTCATAATCTCCCAAGAACTTCTCAATGTGACGCATCGGCATATTGTGAAGAAATCTTTGAAACAAAATATAAAGGATAATTTCGTATTACCACCATACATGGCAAAAGTATAACCGTACAAATCAATAACCGAAGAAAAAAAATTGTGTGGATGCAATTAGGTCCAACAGGTGAAATCTTTATTAATTAATCACTAAATGCCCCACAATAAATGGACGATGCAAATATAGCATTAAGCTATTCCATCACCATGATCATTATAATTACAGCCTTTCACAAGTCTGCTGCTAAACATAGGCCTATCCTGGGAGTGTCAAAGCATACTTGGTCCTGAGCCACATCTTCTACCGAGTTTTCATTACTTTCTTTCAGCCAAAGTAACCTTTCCGTTTAAATACATCTTGTAAAACATACATATGTACATACATATTATTATATTACATTCATAGCGTTCAAAGAGCAATGAGTTCCTAGTACCATGCTTAGACAAAAATATTGCTTTCCAAAAAATATTTATTTAGATGGAAGATTATAAAAGAAGTGATAGGCTAGGCCCATCGCCTACACCATCGCCTAAACAATCATAAACCCAATATTCCATTAGGTCCCTTTTACGACAAGCTAGGCAAGTAACACTGTTGGCGCATTCTTTTTAAGAAGTCCTACACAAACATGGGATCGATAAATCCCAACCAATAAACCTTAATTAATATTACCCATAAATCGGTAACAAAAAGAAAACGAACCTCGACGCTAAATAGTAACTCGCCACTACTATTTTTGTATTTTAAAGAATTTTTGTTTTTTATTTTAAAGGATATTACAAACACTAGGATTGTATCGTAGAGGCAGTTTACATACATTTCTCAAGGATAAACATCCAGACTCGGAACAATTATTTGAAAACAATGCAAGTACTATAACTTTTTACTCCGTTAAGCACGTATGAGCAAGGTTGATTTTGTAATTTGGACTACAGCGGCGCCACAAGTTACAAACATTAGAGATGCAAACTTGTACAATTTTCAAGTCTACTACTTCTACTATAGGTGACGCACACGTGGAGCCGCGTGGACTATGTAATGGCTGAAGGATGAGAATAAAGATCCAAGTCAATTCGTCGTACGTGTATGATCTTGTGCGTTAACTAAATATAGTTCGATTCTAAAAAATATAATATACCTACGTATTTATATTAAGGCTTTATTTTTTATTAAGATTTTTTTGCTTGGATGCTTGTCCTTTAAGACACGTCTTCGTTTAATCCGAGATCTTCGTTTTTATAATTTGTTTCAAAACTTATTCACAATATGTTAATGCGTCACACTGTGAAGGGCGATTTTAACGGCAGCCCGAGCTAGCAGACCATTGATAGCGATAGTATCCCAAGGTGCCTAAGCCTAGACAGACCCCTTTCTTGTCTTGCCGGGGTTCTTGTTCTTGTCTTGTCTGCCCGGACTTGTTTCGTTGTTTTTTATTTTTTTTTTTAGAATAGGATGACCAACGAGCACACAGTCCACGTGATGGTAAGTGGATGCTGTGGCCCATAGACATCTACGTGTAATTATCCTCGATTCAGAATCAAAATGCAGATGCGTTGTCATCCGTACGGACTAAGATGAAATACCTCGTTTCCAATAAAATGGTCACCGGTTCTCTGCACTAACTATACGAAACAGCAGAATTAAGCTGCTTTTTTACGTTGTTATCTGTGAGAGCGTGGTCCTACCCCGGTCGAGCCGACCCATTCGTGCTACAACTATAGTATAGTTGCAGAGTGGCTCTACCACGTAACAACTAACTACTAAGTGCACATTCGCAGACATTTAATACACAAAATCGCACCACTATTACGTATCACAATAAACTTGAATCCATTATTTCAACAATATTTAAGAGCAGCAATCCGCCGCCGGTCAAGTTCCCGCCAAAATTCGAAAATTGACGCTTTATAAGCAAAACCACAGACAATAGAAAGGTCAATTATATAATTACTCTGTGAGTGTACTAACTATAAACGCAAACTGATTGGAAAGCTATCAGCCTTCCCAATTATTTAAAATTTAAGGATAAAATTATAAAAATTGTGTTGGATTTTTTATTTATTCCGAAATAATATATGATGTAATTATACTATTTATTAATTAAATATTTCTTTTTAAAACTGTATGTGTTAATATTTCTTTGTTAAACATACATAGTACATTTTGTTTCAATTTATTGTAACAATGGTAAACAGTGGGATTTTTTTTGGAAGTTGTAGAAAAGTTGAATACATTTGTATGAATATTGATGGTGACTTCATTTAATAAAAGTATTACAAAATTTTTCAATGTTTTTTTATTTTTTAAGAAGATAATTTCCTGCTTAAAAAATTACAGTATAAGAGCTAAATGCATTAAATATTTCTTACTATTAACTTTAAATAGAAATATGTACACGTACTATATATAATCTAAGTCATATTTTATCTAGCGACACTTAAAAATTCGATGTTAAATATAAAATAATAACAAAATTTTAAAAAATTACACTAAATCGCATATATAAAAATGTTATATTTTATTTAAAGCATGAGTTTTGAGCGAAACATGATCATGACAAAGATTTAAATAGTATTTAAATCTTTGGATCATGACATGACTGTTTTGTATGGAGTTGGGAGTTAACTAGCGTATGAAATATTTTCTCCTTAGTTTATATTTTATTTATACGTGATAAAATCATAATGAGATATATATTTTTTAATTCTAAATTTAAGCAGTCACATTAAAGTTTCGAGACTTCATTATTTCGTAATAAAAAAATATAAAGCTAATGTTCGTGCCAGGCGATGTATAATATAACTTGTACGAGTTGTGATAAGAACAAAGTTGTTATTATGCTTTTAAATTTTAAACAAATAACATGTATTTTAACAATATCAAATAAATAATAAATGAAAAAAGATTCACTCGAATATACCTTTCTTCCTCTGGCTTATTTTTCTTGCCTAAAAACGTTACACCACGGCAGGATTCTCATACGTATCATGGAGGCAGTTAACAAACATAAATCACTCAAGAACAAATATCCAGCCCCGGAACAATTATTATTTATGGGCCATGCAAGTACTTGTTCCTCAGTGCCGCAGTTAAATGCTACTCGCCACGGATTCATCAAAATTGCGTACTGCGCAATCAAAAAATTGTATTTTAAGCTATTATAAGTTTTGCATGTTGGCCATATTTGTTCAAACAGTTTGTTTTTATAAGCTATTTGTCCCGAATATGTGAACATATGTTCATAATACTTGGCCGCTTTATCTATTCATGAACTTACAATATTTAAGATGATATGCACTAGTTTAGTATTATTTTTATCACTCTTCATATTCTTCAAACAAAGGTATGTAGTCGTCACTTCTAGAACGAACCTTGAGGCCGAACTGTGAGACTTGATTTGGGTCGTTCGTTATAGATTTGTCGAATGTTTTTATGGTGGCAGCCTTTCGATTCTCTAAATTGTCTTGTTTTCTCGTCACTGGATCTTTGAATTGTTTTATATTGGACAGTTTTGAAAGCAAAACTTCCTTCTGAAAAAGAAAATAAGAATGTAAATTTGAGCGTTTTAGAGTCCATCCGTTGGTAAGTGTCTACTGCAGCCTGCATCTGCGTTTTCAGCACTGACAAATAAGATGTAATATTTCAAATGTATTTCTAAATATATATATATAATATAATTTCACCGGCTGTCTACACCTTTTGAACTTTGCTAGCTGTAGATTTAAGATGGCGGCACATACCCAGACGAATGATTAGATAAGAAAAAAGTTTACCCCGCCATGTGTGACTGCTATCCCCACTGTTTATGAATCTTAGGTAGCTACTTAATACTTATTTCACTTAATACTCGTCTAGGTAAAATTAGATCTTAATACTCAGCTAGGTAAAATTAGTGATGCAAAAGCTAGGTATTATATTTGCTAACAAGCGACCTGCCATGGCTTCGCCTGGTTGGTGTCATGTTGTACGTGGTAGAACTACGCTGCAGTTATATTATGGATGTAGCATGAATGAGTCGGCTCGACTGAGGAAGGACCACGCTCTCTCAGAATACCTACCTACGTAAAATAACAGCTTAATACTAGTGTGTTGTTTGGTATGGTGAGTGTAGAGAACCGGAGACCCGTTTTACTGCGATCGAGACATTCCATCTAAATCCTCAGGGGTCGCATCTGCATTTTGATTCTTAATCGAATGTAGATGTCTATGGGCCACAGGATCCACTTACCATCAGGTGGACCGTGTGCTCGTTTGTCACCCTTATCCTATAAAAAAATATATTTTTCAACTTTTTTTCACATAGTAAAAATAATCCATAATTTTCAGATAAAATATACCCTAGCCAGATTACTCCTGACATTGCTTTGTATTTGCTCGTGAAATGTCATCACAATCGGTTTATCGACACCAAAGATTAGTCAGGACAGACAGACAGATACTTTTTTCAAATGGCTATTGCATTAAAATAATCCTTTGAGCTCGATAAAAGGCAGTTATTTCGATATTACAGGCAAATACATCCATTTTAAAATGTTATCTTAAAGTTACATTTGCCAACGAGGCTTTCTACATTAGACTTCCTGGGTGACAACACGTCTGTGTTAATTCTTCAATGAGGTTGAATGATGAAGTACTCTTCATTCAGACGTCTTTCACAAAAAAATATAACAAAATTCACCAACAGATTATACAAATAGTGCTAACAAGTTCATCGTCACCTCGAAATAATAAAATTGCGTAATTTCTGTCTAGTTTACAAAACGGGCTGAATCCGTTGCGTTATATAATATAAATTACATAGTATATGCGCATTGTACAACCATGTAATTGGTGAAAACTGCAGAATTTATCCAATCATATTAAAAACACAAGAAATTCTTATTATTATTAACTAATGTTTTTAATAATTTACCTGCATTGGATTTTCAGAATAGCTTGCGTATATTCTTAGTATCGGTTCTCCAGTTTTATTATCAAAAGTGATCTTACTTTTTGGAGGTATTTTCGCCTTTACTACTGTCAACTTATGTGGTATAATTTCCGTTTTCTTCTCCGGAATTGCGATCAGTCGTAACGGTGGCCGTCGTGACGCTATATTCACTTGTCCATTGTTGAAATCACGATCCTCACTTATCATAGCTTGCACCAACTGACCTGCGAGTACATTGCCTTCTTTATTCACTTTTGTTTGGTCTTCTTGTGATCTCAGTAATGTATACGCAACATTAACAGATCCATCTGGCTTTTCGAATGGCGTTCCTGCAATTGGCTTTATTTCATTGTAAGTTTTGTTCTTGCCTTCTGTCTCTAAATTAATACTTTTATTAACATCAGTTTCTGATTTCGCTGGCGTGGTAGTCACATTTTCTTCGTTAATAATTTCATTTAGTTTCTCCTCTTGCGCTAAAACGGCTGTAGCTCTGACATCATTTATGGCTGAATAAAATTCTTTAGCCATATCATTATCTACATTCTGGCCAACCTGTGCATAATATACAGGTGTAGTCTTTTGTTCTTCCGAGGTTGTTTCAACGAAGTTCTTAACAGTTGTCGTGGGAGTTTCTGTTTCGGATGTTATTGTTTCTAATGTAACATTTTGTGATGTGTTTAGTGTGGTTGCATCAATGAAGTTCTCAGTAACATTACTAGGAGTGAAAGCTTGGGGTATTAAAGAAAGCACTGAACCTTCTTGTGTTTCCCTTTGCACAATATTTCTATGAGGTTCTCTTGGTTTGAAAGATGTTGGTATTTGTTTTGTTATCACTTCGTTTTCTAGTAAAAATATTTGAGGTTGAGATGAAGTTTGTTGGATTTGAGGCTGCACGTCAGTGGGATAAGGTATAATTTCGACTGACTGAAATTGTTGTAACAGTTGGTTTTGCAACTTTTGTAAGAAATTGGGATCGTTTTGGTATAGAGCGTGCGGTGAAATAATTAATCCTTCGGCTCCTGTTTGTAGAAGATCTTGATGACCTGACAATTCAGTAAAACCCTGCAAGTGATAGTGACATTTAAAATTACTTGAAATACAATAATTTGTAAAGGACCATGTAGTGGCGGTGCAATACCCACTACCTAATATCATCCCGTGGGTGTCGTGAGAGGCGATAAGGAGAAATCAAACAGGAGATGGACAACAGCGTCTTTCTGACAATAACTTAAAATTTAAAAACTGCTTTTGTCAACCCATTTGCCATGCGTAGTCAACTATGTCAAATGTCACCCCTTCCAGTATAGGACAGATGTATGTATTACTATTACTATACTATTATATATGTTAAAAAAGCCTATGTACGTCCCACTGCTGGGCACAGGCCTTCCCTCATTTTTTAGATGGTTTTAGAGCAAGGAAGTGTCAGCCGCGCTGCCCCAATGCATGTTGACGAACTTCACATGCGTTCGAAATATTTTTTTCTTATTCCTCAGAAATGCAGTTTCCTCACGATATTTTCCTTTAAATTCAAATCAATCAAATTAACAATTTCATTAGTGCCGGCGGGGATCGAACCCGGGTTGCTCTCGAACTTGCTCTGAACAGCGAGCGCTAACCATCTGAGCTACCACGGCTATTACATATACTTATTACCTATTTGTTTCCCTCTATGAGACAGTCTATGAGCTGTAATTAATTAATGATTTTTTTTAAATAAACATATTCTGGTAGTTAAACTTTACCTGCATAGAAAATTGTTGTGGAATAATCTGATTTTGCGGTAGTGACAATGACGTGACGCCGTACTGTGTTGGTAGATGGAAAGCGGCGCCGTTACGTACGAACTGTTGAAATTCTGGTGTGATTAAAGACTGGAAAAGAACGAAAATATTTAATCTATAATTATATATATTAATCTTTGGTGCGTCTGCTAGTGGTCGTATAATGTCGGAATGACGTGACAGCTGACAAACCACCTTTTTTAACTGTCAAAATCACTTAATTTCCTTATATGACATCCTTCATAAAACAATCACACTACCAGTTAATGTTAATACCCTTTTAACTATCTTATAATATTAAACTATAATCATTATTAAGTACTAACTTTACCTAACTTTCTACTACCTGTTCACGCTACTCCCCTCCTATAACTAGACGTTTGTTCCGTATTGTGCTGTGCATAATTCGTTTATTTAGTTGTGTTTTGTTTTTATAGCGCTACGTATTGCAGAAGAAAAAACTTGACCGATTAACGTCATCTTCACAAAATCTACTTGTTTTGAGACCATAGTCGAATTTATTAATTAATTTTTTATTAACGGATCAAAGTGACTCATATTCATAATACATGGTCAGAATTTTGGCTATCTCGTTGGTCTAGTGATCGCAAACGCGGCTGCTGCCCATGATGTCCTGGGTTAGAATCCCAGGTCGTCCAAAATCAATTATTGAGTTTTTCTGAGCAGGAATTGTCAGTAGCAGCCCGGAGTCCCGAAGTTGGCGGTGTGCCAACGTACCTCGAAAAGCACGTCAAGATAGACGTCCCATCGGAAAATGAGAGGAGAGTGCACCTATGCTAGCGCATACACTCTGACACTATCCTGCCATGCGCAGATGGTTAGTTTCCGTCCAGACTGGCCGCCGCTGTAACCGACATTCAGTCTGGAGAACATAATTATTATTTGGCTATTCTTCCAAGAAAATTACAATCTTTGGACACGTTAAGTGGTCAAGTTATATATTTCTTATATTTAGGTACATTGCGAAAATTCCGGAACGGGCAGAACAACTTCTACCGGGAAAGCCAGTACATTTATATAAATTAGAGTTAATGAATGAGCTAGCAATACTCGATGTAAGTTTTTTTATAGAATCACGATGACAAACGAACACACAGTCCACTTGATAGTAAGTGGATGCTTTAGTCCATAGACTACTTACCCATACATTTATCCTCAATTAAGAATCAAAATACAGATGCTTTGTCACCCGTGAGGATTAAGATGGACTGCCTCGTTTCCTGTAAAAAGGGTCTCCGGTTCTCTACACTCAGTATATGAAACACAGCAGCATTAAGCTCCTATTCCTATTATTGGTATTCCGTGAGAGCGTGGTCCTTCCCCGGTTGAGCCCTCATTCGTGCTACATCTATAATATAGCTACAGCATGACTCTACCACGTAAAGTAAGTGCCTCTTGCGGCCGATCGTCAACTTTTTTGGAGAAAGTAAAACTATACTTACCGATTGTTTCGAAAATCCTGTAGGTGCTTCAACCTTGGATGGTTTCGGAGCTTGATATACTATAGGCTCAGTATACTTTTCAGTAACTTCGTAGGTGGTCTTAGGCTGGAATTTAATTTTGATAGAATTGTCAAATATCATAAATAAAAAAGCGTAACAATACAACAAAATATTCAGCAGATACTAGAACTAGAAAATAGAACTATGTCTGCAGTGCTACAATGGTGTTGACTGTTGATGGTTTTATGTTATAAAAAGCTTGCTTTTCAATGCCAATAGATCAGTCTTCTTTTTCTCTCGCATCGATATAACTACAACCTGGTGTTTTTAATCAATTATTATGTTCGGTTTCATCAGTATTCTTTGTTTTGCTGTATCTAACTATCTAAGTATCTGTGATGTGCATCTTATATTTTTTACTTTTTTAGGGTTCCGTACCCAAAGGGTAACCAACATGACTCTATTAGTAAGCTAGCGCTGTCCGTGTGTCTGCCTGTCAGCGGGCTGTATCTCATGATCCGTAACAAGTAGACAGTTGAAATGTTCACAGAATGTGTATTTCTGTTGCCGCTATAACAACAAATAATAAAAAGCAATTAAAAATTAAAGGGGGCTCCCCTACTAGAGACGTATTTTACGATGGTACGGAACCCCTCATGTGCGATTTCGACTCGCACTTGGCCGGTTATTACTTTATCTTTAAACAAATAACTACTTTCAAAGTCACAATATGTAGCATTTATTTAAAATTATTATTAGATCTATTAGAGACAGTAGCATCATAAATGATTAAACAAACCGCTTCTGAAGATGTTTCGATACTGCTAGCTGGGCGGCCTTCGGATGAGTCGGCGACTACAATGGGCTTCTCGGAGAGACTGAGGTTGGGCGCTGGTATAGTGTGGATCGCACCTGTAGGTCATATACAGCTGACACAGATTGTACCGTCCACGGCAATTGCAGGTGTCAGTAGCACAGTCATTTTGTTATAATTTATACGAGAAACAAAAACGCAATGAATTAAATCTTATCTGTAGCAGTTGTTTAATGTACATTTTCGACTCTACTACATATTTAACGGTAAAGCAAAACAATATAGTTAATAAAAATATATAATAAACTTAATGTATAAAAATTTATGTTTGTTTGTTCGTATTTATACGTTGCCATACCGTTCATCAGATTGCAGTAAAACTTTGTCAACTTATTGCTTCCACTTGTGCGAAGGTTATATGGACACTAGCTGTTACCCGCGGCTTCGCCCGCATGGTCACTGGGAAATGAACTATCCATTGCTTTGTGAATTGAAAGAAAACTGACTTTTATAGATTTGTCAGAGATGCAGCCATTAAAAGGAAACTGAGCAAAATTGATTCGTCAGCATATTTAAATGTTTTGAAACGCAGCGTATAGGACAGCATGAAAATAGCCCGTTTATTCCAAATGGAAATGTGATATTTTTTTAATTAAAGGAAACTGAGCATAATTATCCGTCAGGGATTCAGACTTTTGAAAAGAAACTGAGCTAAATTGATTCGTCAGAGATGCAGTTTTCTGAATTGAAAGGAAACTGAGCCAAATAAAAGATCCGTCAGAGATACAGCCTTTTGTAGGAAACTGAGCTTAATAGGTCCGTCAGAGGTGCAGCATTTGGAATTGAAAAGAAACTGAGCTAAATAGGAAATTTTGAATTGAAAGGGAAGATCTGTGGGAATTCTGATTAATTGATTGTGGGAATTTTGAAAAAAAAAACTAAGTGAACACTATTTTAAGATGTTACTGTACACAATGTTATATGTTTTTCCATTCGGGGGAAAGAATGTGGAGATTATGGGCATTTGACACACGCGAACATGCTACATACAGCTGATCATGAGAGAAGCAAGGTTTTTCTAAGTTGACCCCCGCTACCTGCAACATTTGCCCTTGCGCTTTATTAATTGTCATTACAAAACTGAGCTTAATAGGGAAATGCAACCTTTTGAATTGAAAAGGAAGATCTGTGGGAATTATAGGGATCCGTGGTATAATAACATTTTCACCTTTTCCAACGCCTGTCAAAATTGTAGCACCGATTATGTTCCGTCCAAGATGTGTCACACGCAGACTTGTCCCGTTACATAACCGAGGAGCATCTAAATTTCGCATTAGCATAACTGGGACGCCTAATTTTAATTGAAGCTTATGTGAGGGAACACCTGACAGCTCTAGAGAATTTAGAAACTCTACGGGATATGAAGTGCTCTGTTCTGTGTCCATAACTGTGTCTACTGACAAATACTCTGTTATTTCTCCTGCTACTTCGCCTTAATATATCTGAATTTATTTTGTTAACGCTCTCATTTTTTGGTGCAAGAATCGCCCTTTCACATAACCATTTGTCTTCATGCATGTTGTTCGTTAAATCTGAATAAACGCTCGCAATTAATTCGGAATGACTCTGTACTAAATTACAAAAATCTCTCGTCAATTTAATGAAGCCCTCAGCAACCGTTTCCAACCGCCCATCGCCAATTTTTAATAGTGTGTCAGCATAGTTTCCAGCATTGATGTCATTATACAAATGCACTCTCATATTCGTAGTTAAACTGAATTTTGTCACCTTGTTCCATAAAATAGACTACTTGAGGCATGCTTTAATTTCATCTACAGGTGTGCCCTTTTGAATGACAGGTAAAGTTTGGCGAAAGTCACCAGCCAGTAAAATCACCATTCCTCTCATTACATCGGTATTACTGCGCAAATCCTGGAGCGTTCGATTTAGTGCTTCTGCAGCTTTTTTATGCGACATTGTACTTTCGTCCCACACTAAAAGTTTGCATTGTCGTAGCATTATACCTCGTGCACTATTTTTGCTAAAGTTGCAGATCGGCGATTCTTCCTGGGCTAGATTAAGAGGGAGTTTTTAAAACAGAATGTGCAGTGCGGCCCCAGCTTAGCAGCGTGGCGGCTATACCATAGGAAGCTACGGCCACAGCAATGTTTCTATCTTTCCATACTTGCGCTAATAATAAATTTAACAAAAATGTCTTCCCAGTTCCTCCAGGGGCATCTAAAAAGAAAAGTGCACCATTTCCAGATTCAATTTGTCCTAATACTTTGTCAAAAACTCGTTTTTGTTCGGGAAGCAAGCGGGGTACAAATTCGTCTACTTGGTGCTGCAAAGCTGGTATATCGTAGTTTGTTTCACGTATAATTTCATCACTTAGTTCATTTTCGGTTGTTCGCTGAGGGCTTATCATTCCAAAGTCGCTTAATTTTTTGCCTACCATTGCCATTACTTTATCTTCAATTTTTCCAAGTGCTTCATTATAAATGTGTTCATTGTATGTTATGTTCGCGTGTGTCTGCTGTAACCTTCGCAAAATATCTTCCGCCATGTACTCTTTATATTTGTCCCACAATTCATGTGCATTAGATAGCCCGCAAGATGATATGAGAGTTGCATAAAGATCCCTAATTTTGGCTGATGACTGGCACTGCACAGATTCCCCCATGGTTTCATCCCAGTGATTATCGTTTTCTAAAGGATGCAGAGCTTCACATGCTTCTCTATAAGTTGCGCATTCCTGACCGTTGACAGTTTTAAGGTCTTTATATCCTGTAGGACCCCGAACATGGTGCAGCAGCAATCGTAAACAGAAACATTCAAAATTAGTTACAAGGACGGTATACACACGACCAAGGGCATCTGATGACTTTACACCGGGCCAATTTGCAACAGGCGCGCCTTGAATACGGCGTTTCCACTCCTTCCTAGACGTGTTCCAAGTATAATAGCGGGGACTTCAGAATATAACAACGTTTTTGCAAAGGGGTCGGTTTGACAAAGTTGAAAGAAGGCTGTTAGTGTAGTTTTTGGCGGTGATGCAATTCTTTCTTGGAAATTTCTTTCGGTGAAATATACACGCTCTCCATTTTCTAAATGCACAGCAAGGTGAGTAACTGTTGGGTGCCTTTCGTGTAAAGGGAAGCCAAGGAGACGCCACGCTGCCTCGTTACTGCTGACATAACGCCCTGCTTGAAAGGTCTGTAATTCATTAACGGGATTTGCCTCACCTTCACTCCTGAGATTAAATATTGCTTGATCGCTTCCTTTATTTATGTACTTATAGATATACTTGATTGCGCGGACAGAGCTACATGCTTCTACATTAATGTGGGCATTAAACATTTTACATAGAATGGGCGAATACGGGACAATCCAGCTGTTATCTAAGGTTTCGAACGCTCCAGAGCGAAATTTGATTGTAACTTTCCTGCCACCATCTTCGGGAGCTCTGCGTCTGTATAAAGGGTAGCCATTTTCATTGTGCACTGTTTCTTTTAATAGTTGTTTAGGGAATTTCTTTGTAAATTTTCCTTCTTTCATACATGGCGATATTGAATTTCGTGGTCCACATGGACCGTGAATCATATTTCGGACGATGGTATCATGTATGATATAGAATTGTAATTCTTTATCTTACTCAGGATCCGGAATCTCCGCGCTTATTATGTCATCTATTTGGCTGGGCCGCAACTTCACTTTAAGCCATATTAGAATGTGGGCATGCGGTAATCCTATTTTTTTGCCATTCAATTGAATACATGAAGCACTGCACCTCTCCGAAAATTTTCCCTTTGTTAATTACATACATTAATTTTTGTACTTTTAATCTAAATACTCTAGCAACTAAATCGTGTCTGTCAGTACTTTTTTGGCCCGGCATTAGCTCCTCGGTTATTTCATTCCATGTGGGATTGCAAGTAAAAGTAACAAAAAGATCAGGTCTTCCGTAAGTTCGTACATAGGCGATTGCGTCTTGTACTCATGTAGGTAGCGGGTACTGTTAACGAATGATTCTCAACGCGCAGCTTTTTTGGATTTAAAGATATATAACGGAGACGTTCACTTTCTACCTTTACATACATGTCAACCAAAAATTGATGAAATAATTGTCTACACCGGGCTAAGAGGTTAAAATCATTTTCTCGCAACATCATATGATACGCATAAAATCCATACATGATACTTTTTTGTTCGGAGTAGGCTCCTTTGTGACCGGGTTAATGAGTGGAATTTGAAAATGATCCTCTGCAATAAATCAATGGGTATTGCAGAG